ATATATATATACCGTAGGGGCGGAAGATGAGAGAGAGAGAGACTGCGGCAGCACCCAACACCCGCAAGCTGCGCTGCGCTATGCGCCTTATATCGGATCAATACCATGATATAGAGGAAGAGAGAACGGCGAGCGGCCGGCGCCGTCGTAACGCTATACGTGTGCCACCTGTTCTGATTCATACGTCGCGCTTACTCTTGTCATATATAATTATGGTACGATCTAGCTCTAAAAATTCATTACTTGTCATGGTCTTTGATCTTATTGTCAATTATCCGTTTACCCGGCGTGTCCGAAGTTACGGTGAAAATGATAGAAAATTGTGGCCAATCAGCCATAGATTACATTGAATTGACAAATCAGATCAAAATTTGTTGGTCTTTGCTGCACCGGCTGTAAAACCAACTAATATATTATGTTTTTTGTATTTTTCTGTCTGATTCTCTAATAGCAAATCTATTGAAGTTGAAATCTTTGATGATTCTTGCACGGAGGGTGACAATCACACTAATATTCATGCAAAAGAATAATCGTTTTATTGACATGCAAGGTACTACGAAGTTCAACTTTTCGTGTCTGCGATTCTAGCACGTTGTTCCAAGTATACATACTTTGCATTTTTTCTACCCAAAGTAACCGCTTTGCATACCGATATTTCCTTAAAGTTGAACAATATTAGCACAATGCACGCCTCGACGAATGCCAAATGGTAGCTTACGCACGCACGATGATTATTAGCCTAGTGTAATTTTTGCATACACTCATGTGGAAATCACCTGCTTCGCGAACTCGTTACGTATAATCTACTCGTTCAAAATGGTTTGGTCTCTTCTGGCTGAAGACATTTTTCAAAGATTTCGGCTAAGTATGGACTATGTGGATTAGGAAAAAAAGAGGTATATTGTACATGCAAGTACTAAACGTCTTTCGCTCTCCTCTTTTGCGCGCGTGCGTGGGAGTGCCTCGAGAGAGAACAAGAGAGGAAGAGTTTCGTTCACCGCAGCACAGCATCCTTCGCTTTTTTATCTCTCGCGATACCCACTACTTTTTCAAGAGCGTATCCATATCCTGCTCGTCCTTGCGCAGGAAGAGATCTATATTGCAGGAAATATATTGATTAGCCAACGACGCGTTGTACTTGCGCCTCTCGAGTAAGATGACAAAAGAAACGAGACGCATCACCGATGGGTAGAGGTCCTGTGTACACGTATACACGGATCATTTCGCGAAAAATGCAGTATTTGTATGAATGCGACGGAAATTTAGGAAATAGACAAAGACTCCTGTTTCTCTCGATAAGTACATTAATTCAACACGACCACATCGAGTGCGGCTCTTATTGGATTAGCAAAACCGATCTGAATGCGATTGCAACGCGCGAGAGTTTGCATCGGCGTCAATGGATTATTGTGATGAGATACAGTGTTTAAGGCCCTCGTTACAGTCGTTTCACGGACACGCATATACCTTACACCAAAGAAAAAACGAGCCACAAATTTTTTTTTCTTCTTCCCAAAACACTCGTTCTTGGCGTTTTAAAAGCAGTTATCCCAATATCGATAAAAACTTGGTCCGGTAATCATCATTCATCGATGTTGAAAATTCAAGGCACCCGAGCTCTGATCCGTAAATACCAAAAATACCTTTTCAAGATCGGATGACAAGTCTCCCCCTTACGTACACCTATACCTAAATATTTGTCTAGCATCGGATTGCAAAGATCGAAAAAACATCCTCCCCTTCCAACTCACGCGCACGAGAGCCAGGCAACAGCGTGCAATCGCATCGCCGCAGCGGTGGCATATATACACATATATATATATATGGCCCGTAAGTATTTTCCTTCCCTCTCGAAAATAACCGCGCAATTATTAATAGTCGCGTGGCATCACGGTGCAGATGCCGGGTGAAAACGCTTCGATGTATGGTGCGCCGGTGGCGAGAGGAGATATTTCGGACGGGGCTCTCGGGGCTGTGAGTAATACCTACACTCTCGCACATATATATATGCCGTGGATGACTAGTGCGGCTTCTTTACTAAATTTGGATCCTCCCGTACGCACTCCCCGATTACGTCCCTTACTTCCACCCTTTTTTTTTTTTTTTTTTTATTTGTCAAGGAATACATATATTGTTTCCTAATACTATCATTTATCATATACGTGTTGCGGTTGATTGAGGAGAGCGACTTTTCTTTAGGGTTTAAATTCTTTTATGATACGATATACAATTTTAACTGAGCAGTATATAATGTTGTTAAATTAAATTTTTGATTTAAGGGCAAAAGGCTTTCCTAACAAAGGGGGCTTGTATGCTTGTTTATCATTTTTTTTAATCATATAAACAGCGTGTGCAAATTTTAAATTTAGTAGTTACTTCGCACATTACAGCATCAACAAACACTCACAATTAAAATTTTCACTTACTAATTGTGGTTTTAATTTTTTTCTTATTTTCCGATTATTCAAATTAATTTTATCATCACTCGTTCACTCGGGCAAAAATCATTGATCTCAGGCATTTGCCGCACGTGGTACTATTCTCAATTTTTCATTAATTTTCGAAAAAGTCGGATCAAAGTGGAATAACTTTGTGTTTAAAATAAAAATAAAAAATAAAAAAACTTGGAGATCATACTTATTTTAGCCCAACATTACTCATCGTTTTAAAACAAGGCTGTTTTTCCGTTTATCATAAGCGAAATGTTGATACCTATTGGAAATATCCAATGGAACATTAAATTTATTTTCAACACAAAAAAAAAATTCAAAAATCAGAAAAATTAAATTTACATCTTAATTTTAGTAATGTTATCTGGTAGGTCAGCTGACATACAAAAAACGTAAATATTGATATGCACACAAATCATTTGATTGAGTCGTGACAGACGACGGTTCAATCGTGTAATCGGATAACAACCCAATGGGGTATTTAAAATACATACGGCCCACGTCACATAATGTATATCAGCATAAATTAAATGAAGAATGTAAACACCATTTTTTTAAGCAATCGTACGGCTAATCCATGTATTTCCCACACTCGGCTTTCGGTGAGCGAATTTGGCATCGAGAAGCAATCGTTCGTGACATTGCAGTGTTTTTGAGCGTGGCTGCAGCAGAAAATCTCGGGGAAAATCGGCAGGGCCACGCGAACGGGAAAACAAGGCCCGCGCTATTTTTGTCCGACCGGCAAGCTCATCCTCTCTCTCTTCCCGTTTGACTCCAACTCGCTCGCAAACAATATTTCAGCTATTCCTCGGCAGACGCGAATCTACGGCCGAGGCTCTCGAAAATAGCCCGAGGAATTCAAGAGAGAGAAGAGATGCCAAGTAAAGAGGGAGGTTGAGTATATATTTCAGCTCATCCGACTTTTGGAGGGAAAAAAATCTGCCACTGGTGTGATATGAGTGTATTTGCGTGTAATAGACTCGAACGTGCTTGCCGAGGGATTTATATGCGCGTCGCTAATTAAACGGAAGTCGCGGTGGTTGAATTTATTGTTGGTCGGATATTTTCGCGCATTGGGTTGTTGGATTAAAAGGCGTGTGCTGGTGACTGGCGGTAATAACGTGAGATCAGTGAGTCGGCCAACTTACCGGCGTAAGGACCGGAGGGTGAGGCGTTGTCCTTGCCGTTTTTCCCGTCTTTGCCCCCGTTGTTTCCTGAAACAGCAAGACAAACAGCTTGTTAGCAGAAATAATGACTATCGACTCGATCGACAGCTTTACTTATCTGGCTGAGTGTACATACATATGTATAAACATTCGGCTATGATATATATGTATGTATATTTCAGAATAGTAAGAGGCATTCATAGATAAGGAAAAAGATATAAAAGGATAGGTATAACACATTCAAAGACACACAAAAAAGCTGCGAAATAGAGCTCCATAAAAAAAGCGTAACGGGAAATTGTGTGTAAATCTTTTTTTTTTTTCCGTTAATTTTAACTGCAAGTGTATACACTACACGTTTCGCAATCCTCTAATCAAAGTTAGCAATTAACGAGCAAACGAAAGCAAACTTCTCCGAACGGAACGGAAAGAAAGCATATCTCGCGTGGCCGCGATCGTTTTACGCACGTATGCGTACACACGTACACATGAATTGTATAAGCGTGTGCATCTACACGGTCCGTTGCCTCCAACAATATATGTTTATTTGACACGCTATCTTCTCGCTAACGCATCAGCGGCAAAAAAAGGTACGCAAGTCTTATCGTTCCGCAGGATGCGCCCTGACGGAGAGTAAAAGTGAGAGCATGTAGCACTCATGCATCCCAGATACACGCGTCTTTTGTGCTGCGGTTAGCAGAGATTTTTCGGTCGAGATTTTTTTTTGTTCAAAGATCCAAACGACACTCCTCGTGGTGCTGTATTTTCGAGAGAGTTATTTTTGCCCGACACATCGTGTCATTTGGCAATGGTTTTCTATATTTAAGTTTGTGTGGCCTTTTTCTTCTTTTTTTTTGTTTCAAAGATCAATAGCTGTAAGTTATTTTAATTTGAAAAACGTCCGACGATTTTGTGTGGCCCGAAATAATATTTGGGTCAGTGCTAGGGGACATCAGCAGAGTATTTTTATTTACTTTGCGGTTAGTTGAAATTATTAATAGTATTTTAATTAGTTTGGAGTTTCAGATAATTAATATAGAAGAATAAAAATAAAAACAAAAACTTTAGGTAATCGTGGTGGGATTGGAAATTTATGCGTGCGAGAAAAAAAAGGTTCATCTAAAGTACGGCCCAACTAGTTTGGGCGGATCAACTACTTGAGTCTACGCGCTAAATCTAGACTATTATACTATAGTATGCAAGTATTAAAAAAAAAAAAAAAAAAAATAAATAATATGAACAGAAGAAACTTTTAATGCTATAAATTCACAATCAAGTCATTAGTACGAATAGTCATTAAAACATGATTTTGTAACTAATTTTTAAGAGGTGGAACAACTATTTTGTTCGTGTGATCAAATAAATAGCCAACGTAATTATTTGAGTGATGATGAACCAATGATTACATGATTCTAAATGTTTTCAATAAATCACGCATTAACTGTTAACCATCTATGAATGTATACTTCCATAGTCAAGCTAACCATATTTTTTTGGCGCACAAGAATACCCAAAATAGTCAGTCTTATGACTCCTAAATATTACAAACGAATTATATTTTTTATTTAGTTGACACTAACCACGAGGTCAAAAACTATAACGGTCATTCATCTTCGTTAATCCCTTACTTTGTGTTAAAAACAGTTAAGATGACTTATTATTCATACGGTCCAAGATATCTAACAATCGACGCGTCGATTGTAAGTAATGAGCCAGCTATGGTATATTGTATATATACACACGATACCATTGTCTTTGAGTTTTTCTTCGCCAAAACCTATGTAAGCGTCCTAAACACACAACCCAGTCATTAATTTGTACGCATCATTATCCAAAGCTTGCACGTGTTGCAACAAAATAATAATAACGAGGATGGAAAAATTGTCAGAGCGGCGCACTGGGCGCAAGGTAATTCTTAACCCACGCGGTATGAAACCCACCAATGAATCATGTGTTGTTTCACGAAACTGTTCAATGGAAAAGTAACACCTAGTAGGTATACCAATTATTGACTGAGCAAAACTTTGTGATTTACGACGACTGGCTGTGTAGAACACACAATTTTCCAAAGATAAAAAAATATCTGTATCGTTACAATAATAACAAACGATCGCGTAGATGTAGAGGGAAACAGCTCCATACGCGGGTCTTTTAAAAGTTTTTTGACAATAAAGTAAATTGACAACCCGCAGATGACCTGGTGGAGGAACGCCAAAATGACACTCGTTTGCGGTACCTCGGAAAATCTCAAAAAACAATAACAACGGAATTTTCCAACCAACGTGTATAAATAGTACGTATAATATATCGTAATATACTGTTTTCAAGATAAATGTGCGTGATGGAAACGCCACGAGTACTTATTATTCTGTGGACGACACATTTCGACAGAGTTACCAGAGCCAGTCAATTTTATCTTAATGTCATTGATATAGTACAGTGAACAGTGAAGTGTACGATGACAGCTGCGTAGATACCGAAACAGAAAATTTCACGTGACCTTGGAAGCAATTCAATACTTTTTATCATCGAGACTTGGTTTTTCAAGCATCGGCGGGTCTGGTAATTAGTTTGGGTTGTTGGTCGAGGTTTCACTTTCGTCGGATAGAAAAGAATAAAAGGAAGAACAGTTTTCTACTTTTTCCGTGTTTAGCGGGGTCCAAAGCTTATGCAGCCACTGGAACAAAAACTCGCCAATTTCTATTTCCAATATTTTGATAGCATTGTATTGATATTCGCTGACATTCAAAAGTTCTCTAAACCTAGAAAAATCGGCAATTATATCCAAAATTGAAGATCAAAGCTATAAGAAAATCTTATAAGAATTCCATTTCTGGAAAAAAGAAAGTTTGCTCCGACGATAACAGTAAGTATTTTCGTAACGTTGCTACGCCCGGCAATGGCTCGAGTTAACGGCACATGCTGGATAATTGAGCATTAGATTGTGTAATTTATACCTCACATTGTTATACATTGGGCTCAGACTCGTATTTTCCTACTTAAACGTACATTGAAGCGCGAGACCCACAATCCATACTGTCACGGTTTCATCGTCTTTTCAATGATGCATGTAAGTCACCATACATAAGGATATGCTGTTTTTTATCCTTGTATTTTACACTTAAACGTGTTTTCTCGTCTATACCACATGAGTAGACATACACGTATGATGTGGGACGACTGCAAGGAATCGAGATTATTACACACGTGTCTGAATTGACCTTACCAAACATGAAGAATTACACCTACCGGTAACCCCCCCTACGAAGAAAGCATGTCCTAAAGTTTCGTGTAACTCCCTGATCACAATTTTTCGAGCAATGCCGGCACGCTCGTAAATATCTCAAGTCCCGACAGATGCGCTATTTCAAATACTACATATTGAAAAAATGGTTGAAAATTAAGTTATACATAAATATATGCTATACGTACTCTCGGAATCGTTCCTCAGAAAAGTAGCCTGTGGCTCGGGTGGCCTGGTGTATTCGGTCTCGGTTAGGACGTTCTGTTCCGACATGTTCGAAATCACCTATCTGACCTTCCTCGGCAGTCTATATTACTACACTGAGCCACTCAACCGCTGCTACGTGCTAAATGTATCGCTTCTCCGACGAGTAATCGTTATTTTGTTTATTCTAATTCGTACGAAGATAAGTGTCGCTTGTACAGCCGTTTAGTGTGTGTATGTACATAGAACTTTGCTTTTCTCCCTTCCCATACACTGTTGGGTACTTACTGCATTATTTGACTTGATGTGTAGTCAGATGGTTTACAGAGTGTTGGGCACGTAGTTGTACAAAGTCAATGTTTCAACGGAACCAACTTATAATATCAACAAACATTTTTGGGGTGACGGGTTGGAAGGGCCATATAATTATACAGACGAACTCAATGAAGAAAGTTCGATACGTATAGGTAAATATGATAGAATTATTGTGTCCTATGAGTCACTGACACTTTGTACATATATTTTATTGTTCGTGGAAAATCACATCGAATTGTTGAGTGAGAGAATTCCATAATATCTTTTGTACAAATACTTGTATCCGTAATATTTTAGCCGTACAAGTTCACTGGTATTTACAAAAATGATTAAGTCCCTGTACTGAATAACGTCACTTCTGCACAATTTTTTGTTGGCTAAAGGCCACGTAAAGCAGGACTTTTACCTCGTCATTTACAAATATACAAAGGATCAACTCATCGATGTCCCCTAAAAGAGGTAGCTGGAAATATTTGTTTTTTTAATAATTACTGGAAAGTATACTTTTGAAACGAGTCAACATATAATGTGCAAAGGCATAAGTACGAGTCGTAGCGTTGAAGATTGCGCACTAGCCAATACGTAAGACATATATATATATGTGTGTGTATAGTCCATCATTTGAACATTAAGATGCCAGACAGGCAAGTTTATTCGAAAGCAGGAGGCATCTGTCACTCGACGCGTGGGAGGCCATGAAATTTATTCTATTTATAGAATAAGTCAGTGCCTCCACCCCGTCCCCTTTGGCACTGGAGTGAGCCTCTCTAGTTGTTGGCCCAGTAACTCGGAACATTCGTTTCAAGATTTCTCTCCATCTTTGAAATGAACGATGAAAATAGAAAATAGCGATTTGACGAAATCCATGCTTCCTGGCTTCAAAAAATGTTAACAGGATATGTCAACGAAAGGACAAAGTGTCGATAATGCAATAATGCAAGAACTGAAAGTGTAGGAGCTCATGGCAATTTGTGAGCCCAATATAATTTCGTCGACTGAGCACTTGATACTAGCTGGTGTGGACTAAAAGTAGAGTGTTTTTGTTTCAACCAAATTACCTTCAACTACGGTCTCATTCTTCGCGTTCGATCGGTATACGATGTATACCCTGCAGCTTTGCCTAAGCATACTACAACGTACATCTTATCTTTTCGAATATTGTACTTCGATGATAAGCACCAGTTACACACGTGTGTACCTACATGTGTTGCGCGGCTGATGAGGGGAGAACAAACCGAAAGTTTTTCAACGCAACTGTCACCTCTAACGCGCGAGCCCTCCTCAC